CAAAGCTCGTCCCCAGGTGCCAGCTTTCTGCATTTTATAAAAACCCAAGAAGGTTTACAACGGCTAACGGTTAAAACAGAACAAAAGGTGGCCAGAACAAAACCGCAGACGGATAAGTCAGAACGGCCAGTTCGGTCCGAACTATTTGGAAAGTAGTCGCAAAATCTCACAGAGGTGGATGATGAGACCTGCGGTTAGTCTTGGAGATAAAGATATTGGTCCCACCAAATATTTGTTCCGAGTTGAATTTTTGTAAAGCCACACCATATGTGCCTGATGCATTCAATTTCCTTATTTTTACTTTTTCCTTCTGAGGAGTTTTCTGTCTACAACGTAGCAGTTTGCAAACTTTTCTAATTGCCTTTGTCCATCCCGACAGCTCGGCTGGTTAGATCGCCTGTTCCGATTCAACCCTGCGTGGCGGGCTGGGTTCAGGTCGCTGTATGTCCATCCCGACAGCTCGGCTGGTTAGAACGCCTGTTCCGATTCAACCCTGCGTGGCGGGCTGGGTTCAGGTCGCTGTATGTCCATCCCGACAGCTCGGCTGGTTAGAACGCCTGTTCCGATTCAACCCTGCGTGGCGGGCTGGGTTCAGGTCTCTGTATGTCCATCCCGACAGCTCGACTGGTCAGAACGCCTGTTCCGATTCAACCCTGCGTGGCGGGCTGGGTTCAGGTCGCTGTATGTCCATCCCGACAGCTTGGCTGGTTAGAACGCCTGTTCCGATTCAACCCTGCGTGGCGGGCTGGGTTCAGGTCGCTGTATGTCCATCCCGACAGCTCGGCTGGTCAGAACGCCTGTTCCGATTCAACCCTGCGTGGCGGGCTGGGTTCAGGTCGCTGTATGTCCATCCCGACAGCTCGGCTGGTCAGATCGCCTATTCCGATTCAACCCTGCGTGGCGGGCTGGGTTCAGGTCGCTGTATGTCCATCCCGACAGCTCGGCTGGTCAGAACGCCTGTTCCGATTCAACCCTGCGTGGCGGGCTGGGTTCAGGTCGCTGTATGTCCATCCCGACAGCTCGACTGGTCAGAACGCCTGCTCCGATTCAACCCTGCGTGGCGGGCTGGGTTCAGGTCGCTGTATGAGATGCTTGCTGTACCCTCGCCTGGGATGGCCTGCGACCGATGGAAGCAGCTACGCTAAAGGTTTCATGTCGTCAGACGGCAGCATGAAGCGTGCCAAAAACTGTGATACGTTGACCTTCGCCATCAAATTCTGCCGCTGGTCTGAAATTGAGCAACGCGTGTGATGAAACAAATAGCAATGATAAAAAATCATGGGGGTCTGGACTCACGAAACAAGCAGTGGTTAGCGTGCGCTCTAATCTCAGAAATCCATCCACACAAAAGATTCAGACTACGTCTGTAAAGAAGTGAAATGTGTCCTGTGAAAGTCGATTACTTTGTTGTGGTTTGAAAGGGGGCATCCCACCGTTTTCGTACTTTTCCCTTATTTTCAGAGCAGACACGTACGATTTGATGAGTAATACCAGTGTTCCCAAATCCTTCTGAACCACAAAGAATTTCAATTGAGGTAGCCGCTCATGCGGGACAAGCCTCCTTTGACTTCCTATTCACCACTTTAAACGTAATATACTTCATTTGCCTTTTTTCTTCAACGTGTTGATTTTGTTATGTTTGGAAGACACTAATGTGTCAAAATGTTTGCGTAATAAATGCTACAAAAGGTTGGAACTCCCTGTCAAGACAAAAGCCTATGCGAAGATGAAGCTTTTATCCGCGAATTCAACAAAGCGTTGAGCTATGACTTTGATTTCTCCCTCATGACTTTAAGCACTTTGGCTTTGCAAATGGTAGTATCACATGGCCCATAGTCGCGTTGGCTCAAACTTCAGCCAGTGTGCTTTTGGCAACAGGCCCTTGCCACCCTTTGCCAATCACAAACGTTCTGTTATTCGCACCATTGGAGGTGCACACGGCGATGCCATAGCGACGGTGGTCGCGACTGCAGGCAAGAAACAAAGTGCTGTTACAAATCATTGATAACGCAATATGAACCCGGAAATAGTTTAATTTACTATCATTATGTATTGACGTTACTGCAGAAGCACTACCCGCTGTTGTTATTGGAGTAACTGGTCCTGAGGTTTCACCAGAGCACTTTTTTAAATGTGTCCCAAAGGTGGGACGCTTCCTTTAACGGAAGTGTTTCACATTTCATACGGTTTTGAATTGAAATAGCCTTCTAAAAGAGCTTTAATTGCAGTTCTCTGTCCTACCCTTCTTAAGACCTTAACTGCCTTGGTTTCTGAGGTCAACGCCCGCGGAGATGTGCAGCTATTTCACGTAAACTATTTCAGGGCCACCAAGGCATCCATGGCGTTAGGATAACGCCATTCAAATCATATTATTCAGCCGGTCATTCGGCGATCAAGATCAAGAAAATATAATTGCCGCATGGTTCATATCTGGTGTTCATGAGTACGACTTCTCGATAAAATGGCCGCCACTTGGCCGTCAATCAGTGTTGTGCAAGGTACGATGACGTAGTCACACAATGACGTATTAAGGAGCATATTTACTTAATAGAGAATCCCGTTGCCTAGAGCAGCTTTTTAAGCTTAAAAGTATATTGCGAGGTACACCTAAGTGCATAGTTATAAGTTATTTATGTCATTATACCGGATGCCTTCTGGAATATTTTTAAATGTGGAACATCCCCTTTCATGTCTGATGTCTCAGTCCACGGCAATGCTGTGAGACGCAAGGCGCCAAAGTGGTAAAACTTCACTTATATGCGATTTCTTGGGCCTGAAAAGTCATACCCTGGATAGCACTCATTTGCTCGTCCCAGGAGAACAAACAACAATACCATTGTTTTTCTGAGCTTGTTCAGTTCAAACAGCGCCCGCCTTAACCCTTGCTGGGAGGAAGCCTTGCCCTCGTTTGATTTAAGCTATTACTACCCCGCTAACGTTAACCAGTCCGACTCGCATCGCGACGGGCTTCAGCTCCTATTTGGCTTACGGCCTGAACTCCGCCCGCTGAGGTGCCGTCATAGGTACACACCGCTGAGGAACGCCCTTAATTCCGAATCCAGGCAACAGCCGAATCAGATGGTCAAATCCTATGTAGACATGAAGCGCAGGAATGTCGCACTTGAATATTATTCAAATAGCAGTTATTGCAAGTGATCTAGAACTGAATACATCATTCTTTTCAGGCCCAAGAAATCGCATATAACTGAAATCACATTTTCCATAAAACATGAGATCGAGACCTGCCTTCTTGCCGGGCACACAAGACCGTCAAGAGCGCGTCGACCGTTGCTGCGTCAGGACCAACGACTTACTTGCAAACAAACGACCGTAGCTACGTCAGGACCAACGACTTACTCGCAAACAAACGACCGTTGCTACGTCAGGACCAACGACCTACTCGTAAGCAAACGCACTTACTTCGCCTCTCGGCCGAGCAGGGCTTGAGTCGTGACGTCATAGGTAAAGAATGGGCTTCCACTGGTTAATGGAGAACGGGGCTCTGATACACATTACGCGTCGCACTTTCCATATGACGTCACCTGCGCTTTATGCGCGCCTCGCGCGCACAACATGTGAATGCTGAGTCAGCGTGAATACCCGATAAGGTGGCTTGGTCATAAGATGAACATATGATAAGGTGGCTTGGTCATAAGATGAACATAAGATAAGGTGGCTTAGTCATAAGATGAACATAAGATAAGGTGGCTTGGTCATAAGATGAACATAAGATAAGGTGGCTTGGTCATAAGATGAACATAAGATAAGGTGGCTTGGCCATAAGATGAACATAAGATGAGGTGGTTTGAGATAAGGTGATGAAACTAGAGATAAGACGGTGCGTTTCTTGTTTCGCGCCGATAGTGGTGGAGGCACGGAGCCGGTTCCGCATACCACGTGCCACGGGTAGCTGCATCGCTGGGCGTGGATCTATCCACCGACCGTATAACACACAACCATTTCCTGTGCCGTGGTGCAGCGAATGCATTCTTAGTAACCATCCGTTTTCCAGTCGGCTTCACGTTGTGCATCATGGGCTTTGCCATCGGCCTGGGCCTTGCAATGCCGACTGACGCCGCCAGGGCCTCCCCGGGCCTAGTTGCGAGCTTCCCATGTACTGGCATGTGAGAACCTGCCATGTGCGAACCTCTCATGCGCCCTCGCCATGTGTTGGTGAGACATTGCACTCCCTGGTCCTAACTTCGCATGAACAATGCTGCCCAAGACCATGCTCTCACCGAGCCAAAACGACACTCTGTGGGATGTTAGCATGTCCACACCCCACTCCCTGGGCCCCTGTTTTGTGTCACGCCACTGCCTTCACACCCCCCCCCCCCCCTCCCCCCCGCTTGCCTGTGCACCGCGCCCAGCATCTCGCCGTGTCCACCACCGCACGCATATGTGGAGTGCTTCACTTGAGACTGCTCAGATCTCAGGCGCCATGACTGAACCAGTCCCGGAGAGCTTAGATGCTCATGTCACAGTTCTCTCAATACACTCTACGTTTCAAGCCCATTCGAAACATGTACCATTTTAGCTCTCGGTATAAGTACTCACCATGTTCGGGCCCTTAAAGCACTCGCCTTTTTGAGGTCTGTCGAGGCTTGCTCGAAGCTTGGTTTACTTTTATGAACTCTGCTCAATGCAGTTGTGCTATCAACTCCCGGGATAATCACTTTGTCAACCGCCCGAGGCGTTTACTATTTCAACCCTCACATGACATTCACCAATTAAATCTCACCAAGACACTCACTGTTTTCAACCTTCCCGAGACACTCACCATTTCAACTTCCCAAAGCAATCACTATTTTAACCTCCACCCACGTACTCACCACCTCAACCATCTTTTCGGCAAACACGGTTGTTTTAACTTCTCTCGAGGCACTGCTTATTTCCACCCATCCAGGGTGCTTAGTATTTTCCCTTACCTGCGGCACTCATCATCTCATCCTCTCTCTCACCAATCACTCGCTATCTCATCCTCTCCCCAAGGCACTCACCGGTCTCGAGCCGAGATCTGCGCTCTTCTCGAACAGCGAGACGGCACGCGGCGGCTCGTCGGTTGGGCAGAGCACGAAACGGGCCGTGTAGGCCAGGCCCCAGTTCTCTTTGATGACCCGGTGCTGCGCCCGCACTGTCGCCTCCGAGCCGTTGCTGAAGTGCAGACGGCAGTACAGGGGCCGCAGTGTCGACGGCAGGTGCACGCGTCCCGTGGCGATGACGCGCACGAACCGCGGCCGCATGCGCCGCTCGAAGTACGCCGAGAAGACGAAAAACTTCCCCTGCCGGGGATGGATGCTGCCATGAGTCGTCATTTATGAGCACCTGCTTGTGATTGGGCTGATTGAGCTGACGCATGTGACGAGGTTGACAGAAGTAAAGCTGAACTCGTAAAAACATATTTATTTTAACCTTAGGTCATCTGAGCAGCTCTCGGGGATTCGGACCCGTCGCGTGCCGCGAGGCCGGCGTAGCACATGCTGAAGTTGTAGCGATGCAGCGCATGAACGTGATGCGCATGGTTGTACGGGTGTGATTAATCAGTGACCGTGCTTGCCAAAGATGCTGACTGTTTTGATATATGGCTATAAAAAAATGTTTGGAAAATGCTAGCAAGATAGCTGTGACGGTAAGCTTCGTCCGAGTGAGTTCCATTCTCAACCGGCTCACCACGGAGAACGTCACGTTCTGCCACACGTCAGTGGGTTCCAGATCGTGACGGTCCGCGGCCGGCGGCACCCTGCCCACAGACGGCAGCTCGTCCACGGACGCCTGGGTCACGACCGGCGCCAGCAGCGTCCGGGGATTGAACACGGCTGACGCCGCCTCTGTCGGCCTCAGCTCTTCATTCTGTGGGCGGGAGACGGGGACTGTGAGTGCAGGGACTGGAGGGACTGGAGGTTGGCTGGAGGGACTGGAGGGTGACTTCGGCGTGACGCGCTGGGGGGAGGGGGAGGGAGGCGTGACGCCAGATACACGCGCTAAGAGGAAACAGTAGCTTCACACACTCACACGCTCTTGGGGAAGGGTCAGTGACTTCATATAACGCACTGAGGAGCGAACCGTGTCCTCAAATCATAACGCTCAGTCCAGGGGGTGACGCTCAACTCGATGCGCATTCTGGGAATGGAAGGTGGCTTAAGATACAAACCTTAGACAACAATGGACGACAACGGGCAGTGCCTCACAATACGCTCTCGGATTCGGGAACAGTGCATTCGATGCATACACTGGAGGCGGATTCCGACCTCAGATACACACTCTAAAAGGGAACAGTGGCATAGAAACACACCCTTGTCGTGAACAGCTCCTCCGATGCACACTCCGGAAAGAAGACAGTGTCCTCAGGTAAACACTTCGCAGGAAACTATGGCCTCAGATATACAACTCATGAGGTATATCTGAGTACATATATATATATATATATATATATATATATATATATATATATATATCAACCCCACATCCACGTCATCTGAGGTATTCACATCCACATCTGAGGTATATATCAACCCCACATCCACGTCATCTGAGGTATTCACATCCACATCTGAGGTATATATCAACCCCACATCTACGTCGGAAAACTGACACGTTGGAACACGCCGGAACTACGAAGCAGGTGATGGTTCACGCACACACTCTGTTGGACAGGAACAGTGGCCCCAGATACCCGCTATGGGGAGAGAACGATGGCCTTAAATGGAGCTGTGCGTACAGAGACCAAGCACAACAGATGCGAGTTCTGTGTAGGCAGCAGAGGCCTCTCAAATACACTCTTTGGGAAAGAACAGCAGCTTCAGATATCAAATAACACACTGGGAAGTCAAGGGGTTGTTGCGTCTACAGATAATGCAGCAGAAGGGGAGGTCTCCTGTGGCATAACACAGGCCGCAGGGTGTGGGTTCTATCTCAGATACACACTTTAGGTCACGGGGTGTGGGTGCAGCCACTGATACACGCTACAGACCGCAGGGTGTGGGTTCTGCCTCAGGTACACACTACAGACCGCAGGGTGTGGATACTGCCTCAGATACGCACAACAGACCGCAGGGTGTGGGTTCTACCTCAGATGCACACTTAAGGTCACGGGGTGTGGGTGCAGCCACTGATACACGCTACGGACCGCAGGGTGTGGATACTGCCTCAGATACGCACTACAAGCCGCAGGGCGTGGGTTCTCCCTCAGGTATACGCTACAGATCGCAGGGTGTGGATACTGCCTAAGAAACACGCTACAGATCGCAGGGTGTGAGTACTGCCTTAGATGCACACTACAGACCGCAGGGTGTGGATACTGCCTCAGATACACACTACAGACTGCAGGGTGTGGATAATGCCTCAGATACACACTACTGACCGCAGGGTATGGGTACTGCCTCAGTTACACACTACAGACCGCATAGTGTGGGCTCTGCTTCAGATACACACTACAGACCGCAGGGGGTGGATACTGCCTCAAAAACACACTACGGACCGCAGGGTGTGGGTACTGCCTCAGTTACACTCTCTACAGGCCGCGGGGTGTGGATGCTGCCTCAGATACACACTACGGACCGCAGGGTGTGGATAATGCCTCTTTTAACACACTACAGACTGCGGGGTGTGGGTGCCGCCTCAGATACACACTCTACAGGCGGCGGGGTGTGGATACTGCTTCGGATGTACACTACCGCACCGTACACATGACTCCCTGTCCGCAACGTGCACATGACTCCCTGTCCGCACCGTACACATGGCTCCCCTGCCTGCACGGCACATATGGCTTCCTCTGTTCGCACCGTACACATGACTCTCCTGTCCGCACCGGACACATGGCTCCCTTTCCCGCACTGTACACATGGCTCCACCGTCCGCACTACACGTGTGGCTTCAGACTCGCAACGGATGCGTGGCTCTTTTGTCCGCACCGGACGCAGGGCTCCCTGTCCGCAAACCATGCCTTCGTTTCGGGCCGCAAAACCTTCCAGCTATCTGTTATCGTTGTCGCGCCCGAAATGACTCCACTTTATCCGCATGCCTTATATGCATGAAATAACGATGCTACAGCATTTCTGACATCTTTGAACATTGCCAGCTGCGCGCGCTACTCCGCCCGTGCTGGTCAAAACGCATGCTACGCTATTCCGCCGCGTATCTGCCACGCTATCAGCGTGGCGCGGCGATAGGGCGCGCCAGGGAACAGATAGCGCCTCGGTCGGCTCGTCCGCACAGCCAGGCAGATCTGCCAGGCTGTGCGGACCGCGCCTGAGCCGAGGACCAAATCTCCGCAATGGCGTGCGCTGGCCGAGCGGAGCCCACGAGAGCCGACTGCAGGGCACGCGAGCTTGTCGGGTCCGTCCGAGACCGTGTGAACGCGAGCCAGCCAGGCCGGCGCTCTACGTCAGCAGCTGCAGCCGCACCGCAACTGTGTAGACCGGCGCCTGTCGTCCCTTGTAGCCCGATCTGCCCGGAGCGACAGATAGGCCAGGCCTGCTCTGTGCGTCAGCAGCTGCGGCCGCACCGCAGTTGTGTAGACCGACGCCTGTCGTCCCTGGTAGCCCGATCCGCCCGGAGCGACAGATAGGCCAGGCCTGCTCTGTACGTCAGCAGCTGCAGCCGCGCCGCAGCTGTGTAGACCGGCGCCTGTCGTCCTGAGTACCCCGCCCTGCCCGGAACGACGGGTCGATCAGGGCGCAGCCCGTTGACAGGATCAACGGTCGTGACGACGCTGAGGTCTGGTCTCCGCGGATTATTCCCCGGTTGGCCTGTCGCCAGGGGCGCTTGAGTGTGTGATGTGTGTGATGTATGTGATGTGTGTGATGTGTGTGATGTGTGTGACGTAGTCCGGACTGGCATGGGCGTGTAAATGTCTGGTCGAGCGAAGCAGCCGGCGTCGCGTGCCGTCTGCAGCAATGGACCTCTTTATCGACTCGTGACTGAAAGGCCACATCACTTACACTGTCGCCACTCAGACGATTGCAGGCAGGTAACCAAAACACTGCCGGGGTGCATTGCAATGCGAGAAATGGGCTAGGCGGATCGGTGTCTCATGTTTCTACCCTGTCGTTGCACGGAGCCAGGCTGCCTAGCTGCTCAGTAGCGGCCACGTGCAAGAGCTGAGACTCTTCAGCGCATATGTGGGTACCCACCGGCGGGCGCAGTGCAAGACTAGTATACGCAGCTGAAGGGTGATAACTCGTTCAAGACATGCTGTCAACAGCCAGAAAAGTAGCTGAACAAAATCACGACAAATACCAGTGCCGCTAGCCTAAGCCATGCGTTGTTTTCTTTTGGATAATTTGTTTTGCGCATGACTAACTGGTCATCCAGTACGAATGGGAGCTTATCTGAACACATTGCTACGGTCATGTTCATAGCACGTGCAATACGCCGATGCATTTCTTGCATGGGAGTCAGAGCTGCTGTCGAGCGTTTAAATCTTCTTTCCTGCCTCTGCTTAGAGTCCCGCACGTCCCAACCTCTTTTAGCGCCAAAAGACCAATGAATACAAATTGCAGGTTTAGTGTAAAAGTACAGAAGTGGGTTGATCACATCGCCTACATGGTCCATCCCATGTTCACTGAGTTTATTTGAGCTGTTCGCCTGAGTACGCTCCTTCACCTGGTGACCGCTGGCCTCCGATGAATCACCAGAGCATGCCCCCTGCGGTCACCTGGTGGCCGCTGGCCTCCGATGAATCACCTGAGCATGCCCCCTGCGGTCACCTGGTGACCGCTGGCCTCCGATGAATCACCTGAGCATGCCCCTGCGGTCACCTGGTGGCCGCTGGCCTCCGATGAATCACCTGAGCATGCTCCCTGCGGTCACCTGGTGGCCGCTGGCCTCCGATGAATCATCTGAGCATGCCCCTGCGGTCACCTGGTGGCCGCTGGCCTCCGATGAATCACCTAAGCATGCCCCTGCCGTCACCTGGTGGCCGCTGGCCTCCGATGAATCACCTGAGCATGCCCCTGCCGTCAACTTGTGGCCGCTGGCCTCCGCTGAATCACCTTTGTTATGGGCACAAGTGCCGAACATTGGGCGGTTCAAGCAAACGGCTGTCCAATGGCGATCGCTGAACCAGATGTGGCAGGAGCTTCTCACCTGTGAGCTACGGGAGACATACACGCACACGTTGTAGACGAGGAACGAGGCCACGAACAGGTTGGCGAACGTCTGAAGTGTGCAGAGCCTGAGGCAGCACCAGAGACGGAGCCGCCTCATGGCGTCGGCCTAGGAGCGGGGCGATCAGCTGCACTGCTGAGCTCAGACGCCTCGGTGTCAGCGATCCGCGAAAAACGTAACTGATCCAACGTTAATGTTCTCGACGGAGACTGGCTGATTCAGCGCTAACGTTCTCGGCGGGTCCTGGCTGATGCAACGTTAATGTTCTCAACGATGCCTGGCGGATTCAGCGATAATGTTCTCGGCGGAGACTGGTTGATTCAGCGTTAACGTTCTCGGCGGAGCCTGGCTGATGCAACGTTTATGTTCTCCACGATGCCTGGCGGATTCAGCGATAACGTTCTCGGCAGTGCCTGGGTGATCCGGCGACGCCAGCGTCAAGCCGCGCGAAGCGGCTGTAGCATTTGAAGCCCACTGAGCTCATAGTGATCAGCAGAGCTCGATTGCGTGAGACGGATGCAACGTTCTCTGTAAGGACCGCGAGAGCAGTTCGCTCGACTGCCGACGAGCGCCGGCATGATCTTGAGAGTGATACGAAGGTCACGCTCAACACCGCATCTGTCGAACGCAGCGACACAAGAACGCTTCACGCAGAACGGTTTGGCGGGTTCCGCGGGTGCTTGGTGTCTCCACACCGCAGCCGAATGCCAGGCCGGGCAGGCGGAGACCGGTGGCCTGCTTGTTTCTCACTGTTTCCCACGGCGCATGGGGTCGCGTAAGGTCGCCACAGACTGTACCGCACACCGCGCGGGACCGGTGCTAGCGTTCGGCCAAAAGTATGGTCCTACCGGGCCAAGCGCTGAGGCTGTACTGGCGCCCCGCGGTGCCTTAACTCCTCCCCCTCGCACTACCCAGCTGCGATATCGTGGATACCAACACCCAACGTGGACCGTGGTCCTCAACTGCTCGATCGCGCCTGGGATCCGATATGGAGTTTGAGAGCCGCCGGTCCGTCGGTTTTGCTGGCGCTCGATTTTGGGTTTTCAGGTGTCGTGCATTGTGTGTACTGGTGTTCTATGTCTGCGAGCGTGGTTGGTGGGTGCATTCACGTCTTGTAATGCTGTCTCAAAGTGTAAACTGGTGAGGCTTTACACCTAGTGCAAACTAGTCAAACTCAGGTCTGTCCGTGACTGGAATGACCTACGGCCGGTGGCAGCAGGCTCGCTAAAGGTCAGGTGACAACAGACACAGCACTGACCATATTGGTCATTGCGGCACGTTAAACACTGGCCGACAAATTCCTGACGACCTAAATTTCAAGATTTTCACGCAGAGGGCCATGGCTCCTGCCGTGACCCGAGCCGCCGCGCGGAGCACCAGCGAGGTACAGGGCGCGCGGGGTCGCTCCGTATTGGCGGCCCGTCACACAGGCTCGACCAATCATCCGTCACACAGGCTCGACTAATCACCCGTCACACAAGCTCGACCAATCACCCGTCACAAAGGCTCGACCAATCACCCGTCACACGGGCTCGACCAATGATCCGTCACACGAGCTCAACCAATCATCCGTCACTCAGGCTCAACCAATCATCCGTCACACAGGCTCGACCAATCACCCGTCACACAGGCTTGACCAATCACCCGTCACAAAGGCTCGACCAATCACCTGTCACACAGGCTCGACCAATCATCCGTCACACGAGCTCGACCAATCATCCATCGCACAGGCTCGACCAATCATCCGTCACACAGGCTCGACCAATCATACACGAGCTCGACCAGTCATCCGTCACACAGGCTCGACCAATCATCCGTCGCACAGCTCGACCAATCACCTGTCACACAGGCTCGACCAATCATCCGTCACACGAGCTCGACCAATCATCCGTCACACAGGCTCGACCAATCATCCGTCACACGGCCTCGACCAGTCATCCGTCACACGAGCTCAACCAATCATCCGTCACTCAGGCTCAACCAATCATCCGTCACACAGGCTCGGCCAATCATCTGTCACACAGGCTCAACCAATCATTCGTCACACAGGCTCGGCCAACCATCCGTCGCCAGAGCGTGCCGTTTGGCTGTGTCGCCTGCAGGGTCCGTTGAGCGCATCATGGAGGGTTGCCTGCTATGTCTCAAGCCGGTGGGCAGCGGCTCGAACGTCAGATCCAACCACCGGCCGCCGCCAGGTCATGCAGAACAAGTCAGCATGATTATTGAACATGTTCCTCATTTCGCGCCCCAGTGCACTCCAGTATAGGATCTGGCTCGTCGCAATCCTGTTTGACCTTTGAGGCCTTGGGCTGGTTGCTTTCTGGGAAACCAAGGAGTTATAAACATAGACCTGTCCCGTGATTTTAGCATAAGTTTTCTGAGGCGATACGGTGGCGTAATTGATGCATCCGGCAAGTGGTGTACTCAGACTTTCGGTCAGGAGATGGGGGTCATGTGGTTAAAATCATATGACATAAAACGACGGCTGATGTGGAAGGCGGTCGATATCGGAGGTGTACGCAGGATTTCGCCCATTTGAATCAGTGGGGTCTCCAAACCTTGATGTGGAATGTGGGTAATATCGCACCCCTCTTTGCAGGCACGTACTGCAGTCTTCGGTTATTTTTATTTCGATTCGATATCGACTGTTTTCAGAAACTCGGCAGGTACTGCGCGCGAAGCCAATGCACCGCGAAGGGTTGACGTTCAACATCAGCTTTGTTTTACGCAACAACGTGGTTTCTCGTGTTTTTCTTCGCGACGCAAGCCACCACGTGGGTCCCATAAACTGACATGGAGAGCGGCAAGAACCACTACAGTCTAGGTCAGTCCCGGATAGAGCCGAAAGATCTGGGCTGCGCGGGCAGAACGGCGGACCCGCGGCAGATCCGCGTCCCCTCGGAAGGGCTGCGCGGGCAGAACGGCGGACCCGCGGCAGATCCGCGTCCCCTCGGAAGGGCTGCGCGGGCAGGACGGCGGACCCGCGGCAGATCCGCGTCTCCTCGGAAGGGCTGCGCGGGCAGAACGGCGGACCCGCGGCAGATCCGCGTCTCCTCGGAAGTGCGCCTCTTTCATACACCAGCCACCACACGGCCATCCTACCTGGCGAATGTGCGTTTGCGGTTATGGTCGTTCGTTGGCAATGCTGCGAAATCGTTGAAAACACGTCCCAATTCCAATTATTTTTAACAAGGCGTTCGCTCCTTGCGTCTTATGTTCTTTCTAGCTGTACATCCAACGTAGGCCCATAAAGGAGAGTCTGGCAGGAGATGAGAACATGAATATCATGATGGTTTAACATCCAACAGACAGATCGTTTGCCAAGAGTTTAAGGGAATGTTCCGAAGTTAAAGGTATTAAAGCAAACATCAGATATGATGCAGTATGCTCACTTAGTTTGCTTTAAAGTGTAAAATATTGCTCTAGGCAACACAATTTCATTGGTTAGTAAATATGTCATCGTTTGATTGTGTCATGCCAGAGATGTTGCTTTATATACTTTTACGTGGGCCCCATCCCACGCCCATGCTGACATGAGCTCCACCCCCTCCCCCCCCCCCCCCCCCACCCCAATGCTTTTCTGAGCTCCCCCGGTGTATGTGAACAAAGAGTGAATACGGAGCCAAATGAATAGAGAATAATGACCCTGACTACTCGTATGCTAGGTGGTAGTTGCCTAAAAGAATCACTATGAGTGTCATGTTAATTCTGTACCAAAATTATCCTGTATCTTATTTATGCGTCATGCTAACTCCTATATGCTAACCTAGTCTGCATGTGTTTGACAAGTTTTTCGAATGATAGCACCTGAATTGGGATGAAGAATGAATCGACTGCAATATGCGCCAATTATTAAAAGCACGGGGTGGCCAAGACAAAAACTAACACGAATTCTTTATTTTTAGTGGAGAGTGTATCTGCCGCATCATCGTGGCTGTTGTGGTTATACAACATGATCAGCGATAGCAGGAGTGATGAATGATTCTTTACTAAGATTTACTTATATGTTTCTTGTCTGTGAACTTCATCCTATTCTAAGCTTTTCCCAGAGAAGCAGCTCAAATTAACTTGAAACGGGAAGGGATTCTTTTGCTGTAAAAAATATGCGAAGCATTCTGTTTAAAAAAAAAATATTTGAACTGCCAGGATCTTGATTTAAGTGGATGAAATCCGTGACAAATCAGCTTTTGGGGATGGTTTTGTCAACTTTTCCGGCTGAGCACCCAATGCCGACTTTGGAAAGCCACACCCTGCGTCGTGGAACATCCTTACGGCGTCGTAACCACTGGTAGACTGGCAGTGTTGGTATTGCCAGTGGAGCGGGCGTTTGCACTTTCTTCTCGCATTCGCTTACCCGGGTGTGGTGGTACTCTGAAGTTATTAGATTTCTAGGTTTATTTCCGTAATAGCTACCACTGCCCAAACTCACGTATTCTGAAGCACAAACTGTGATTCGTGTGAATCGCAACTTGCATGCAACGTATTGATTGGCCGAAGGCCAAATGATGTCCCTTGATGCGACGATTCGTGCTGACGTACCACAGAAACCAGTAATTTGATGACAATAGCTTTCTTGACATGGAACGTTATATGGCCAGTGAGATGGCAGTAATCACGTGACATTTCTATGGCGCCACGCGTGCCTGGATGGCCATGAAATAGTTTGTGCACAATATTCTGCACAAGCTAGTAGGTGTTGGCTCAGAAATAAGACAGATCTTAGAAGGGAAATGGCTGTAGGCCGCACTGAATGACTTAAAAGTGATTATATCAGCTCAAACCCATTTACAGCTGTGGAAAAAAATTTGAGGCACTCACATCATGTCCTAAGGTATCTCACGTGCTAGAATCGCGTTATCCACGGTTGAAATACGAATATCACACAGTTACGAATGAATCGTTAATTTGCGCCAAAACAGTACGGGGTGCATAGTTTCTCATGCCTGGCCTGTGGTGGTCTCAAACGCCACACGTGTGTCATTCATCCCCAACACCTTACTTATTCAGTGATCAGAACGGGAGTCGATAAGCGGCACCCCTCTCCGGGCACGGCACTAGCCCGCGCGACTCCACAGAGCGTCTTCAATATTCCGGGGCTGTGCCGCTGCATTCACGCGGCTGACGCCGGCCCCAGTCGGAGCTGTGGGACGCACATCTGGGGTGCCGGTGACTTCAAGCACGCTGAGGAGGAGCTGGTTGGTGGACGAGGCGTCTGTCGATGGCGCCGAAGCACACTTCGACACGAGTTTTGGCGACGCCTTCCGCGGTCAACGGGGCGGTGAAGTTTTCATTGCTGATTTCGAGCCGCGTTCGCAGCGACAAAACCCTTCGCTGGTCACCACGCCGCAGCATTCACTCCATTCACGTGGTGAGGCCACCTGAGTCGGAGATGCAGCTGGGTTGTCGTCAGCTTGCAGACAACTCGCCGGTGTAAGCTGGGCTGCTTCTCCAGGCGAAAATGTGTTGGGTGGTGGGCTATGCTTGGCTGTCGGTCTGCAAGACATGCCATGGCAGCTGATGAAGTTCACCTCAAAGTTCTCAGGGATCTCCATCTCCTGTTGAGAGAGCACTGGAAGCCCGCTTTGGCTGACTTCC